AGCAGGCATGACAGGAGAGGTCTGTCACACCATGTGGGAATCTCCCTGGCTGGCTGGGAGTCGAACCCGTGCTGCAGAGGCTTTGGACAGCTTCACAGTGCTGCGCTCAACCTGCTGCACCACCGGGGAGGCCTAGATTAACTAGTTTTTAAAACAATTTTCTTCTTTAGTTCCTTTTCTCCTTATTGAGATAAGCTGATCTAAACAATTCAGTAATTATGAAAACTTTAAAAAAACTGTTATGTCATATGCTTATACCTGACATGTATGTACATACATGTACATGGAGTTAAGTACACACTAAACACTTTCAAATGTATCTGATGCATACTACCTGGAATGAAGATGAGCTAATAATGGCCTGAAACTTCGTTAACATTCCTATCTTACTTTTTAAGATTACTATCAATCTTACTAGTAAGAGCCTAGAACCATCTTTACAAGCATTTTCCAAAGGTCCTTGGCAATAATATAATATTTTATTTGGACTATCCTTTATGCAGACTTCATGACTGTGTAGACTTATTAACATCAGGTTCCTAATGAGTACCTTTACTGAACATTGGCTGAGTGGTTTAGTTGCTAATTGATTAATAAACAGAAAGTTCTCAATTTGTATATCCACTTGAACTTTTATTGGAGCTACTAGGTGATTAGAAACTGAAAATGGACTGTAATAGAATGCTATGGGCATGATATTTACTATGGGTTAAAATATTTTGCTGTGAAAATATATTGTTGGTCAGCTCTCTCCTGTTCTCGAGTGGTTTCTAAATCTTCATACCTCTTTTCAAAATTCCTCTCCTATATTCTTGACCTCACTGCTTTTGCCTCACAGAGAAGAGCCCATTAGTGAAGAATTATTCATACTTCCTTCCCTGAAACCTAACAACTTAATCTCTTGCATACCTACATACTTCTTGAACCTCCTCCCTCCTGTGTTCCTCAACATACCCAAAGTCACTTGTGATGGTATCCAACGTTCTCACCATGGCCCTTTAATCCTTACTCTTATTTTTACAATACTCCTTCTTTGTTTTACAGTGCTTTTGATGTAAACACACTTGAGTTTTTATAATGAGCAATTTCACTCTTAATTCTCATCTTTAATACTCATCTTTACAATCAAGATCTTAAAAAGTTTATTTTCTTATTTTCCATTCATAAGTTGTCTTATACATTTCATCATTCCAATGAGTCATTCATTTACTGTTACCAATCACCTGCTGATTGCCAAATGCAGCAATTTTCAATTCTTTCTTCCTTGACTTTTTCAACATTTTATATTGCAGACTCAGCACACCTCAACTCACAGCCCACTTTTCCACCTACTCTCTCTCCACCCTGGCTATATCTACTCAGTGTTCCTTCTCACCTTCATTTGAGAAATTCCCAGGCCCCTAAGCAATTTCACCCATACTCTCTACTTTTACAAAGACTCTGATGAGTCCAAAATCCTTGCCTCTGTTATGCAATAACTGGTTTCCATGTTCTCTGCTTTCACTGAAATCCAGTTTCTACACTACAGGCAAAAATCTCTTAAAGATCACCTCAAGCCATTCCCCTGAAAGTGTTTATTGTCCCCTATTCTGAGGAGAAAATTCACGTTACCAGAACCCACCTGGCTCTCTTGAACCTCCTTCCTCCTGTGTTCCTCAACATACCCAAAGTCACTTGTGATGGTATCCAACGTTCTCACTAAAGTCTCACCAACTTTCTCATCCCTTGACCCCATTGACTTTTGCAACCTCAATGACTGATTATCTGTCACATTCAACCTACACTGCTGCCAAAATACCACTCCCTATCATGCCCTCCTAGAGTTAGCCTGCCTTGTTTGGTCTCTCACTTTCTTCCTTTTTTCCCCCAGCTAAATTCTAACTGTTCTTCAAGACTGAAAAGACTCAGTTAAACCTCATACACTCAGATTTAACAAATATTTCTGTTTCAGATGCTGTTCTAAATGCTGGAGTATTACCTGACATAAAGAACCTGTTCTCACACTGATTGCACATGAGTTGCAGAGAGGGAGCAGGATATGCAAAAAATAAGGCTGGGCAAAAAGGATTCAGAGTTTATGTGATGGAGCAATGTCTCCTTATAATGGAATAGTTAGGAAAGGCCTTGCTTTTTTTTGATCCGTTCCAGACACATGTCACACTTGACTGAGCTAGGGGCTTTCTATATCTGCTCTGCTCACACTGAACAGATGTTGTTTTACTTACTAGACTCCTCAGCAACTCTGGGACTCCCTAAGGGTGGAGACTACTCATCTATTCATTCCCATTCTCTAGCATATAGTCACTTGAAGGAAATGTGTTTATGCCAGGCACTGCTCAGGTAGTAAAGTCACATAATATATGTTCAAGAAAGATTTTCTGAAATATAATAAATATATTTGAAATTATTAGTTAATAGGAAAACCTCATATAAAAATTTCACTTTATAGTTATTTTTTTTTTAAAGATTTATTTATTTATGCATACAAGAACTGGGGTACAGGCCAGAAGTGTGGGGGTGAGAGGATTCACCAGAGACGGAGTGGGGAACAAAACAGGCAGATCAACTGAAATACACTGCTGAGGGGAGCAGTGGGAGAGCCAGGAGAGGTCTGCTGCACCATGTGGGCAGCCCCCTAACCAGGGGTCGAACTCGTGCTGTAGTGGCTGCAGACAGCTTCATAAGTTGCGTCCGAACCCCTTGCACCACCAGGGGGGCCCTATATTTAATATTTTAATAATGCATCAAATATTAAAAAAATCATAATTAGATAATGATAACATATTCCTGAAATTATGAGTCAGGTAAGTATAGATTAAATGAACATTTCACAAGAGAAAAGAATTTTGCTCTGCATTTGAAAGCAACTGGAAGAGTCTTAATTCTGAGGGTGTATAAATGTTTCAGAGACAGTATCAGGAAATAATTTTGCAAGAAACTGAAAGTAGGAGGATGGGTTGAGTGAAAATAGGTGTTAAGACTTTGTACAGGTATACTTTGTATAGTCTACTGGTTGAGTTGTAGGAGTATTCATTTAACTAGTTATAGTCAGGAACAAGTTTAAATATCACGGAATTTTATCATGAAAAATTATAAGCATGTTCAGTTAACCTCACTGAACAAAAGGATTAGGACAAAAGGATTAGAAATGAAGTGACGTTTCTGTTATTTTACTTTTTCAACTCCTATATTTGATCTTTTTTGTAAATTTAGGGATATTTTTAAAGACTAAAATTCCCTAATAATGAATATCTCTCTTCTTGCTAATTTTATTTTGTTTGTGTTTACTTCTTCAGATTAAGAAAAAGTAATACAAATTATAGAAACTTTAATAAAACTGAAAACATATATGTATATACAAATATATAGACTACTTAATTTTACCAGAGTATATTTACAGTCAAACCTATAACTTAACTTTTATTCAGTTATGATAAATATTTCTCAAGATACTATAGCCTTCAAAATGATTTTTTAACACAGTTATATAATATTTCATTTAGCAGATGAATGATTATTTTGGTGCTTTTAGAAACTTAGGTAGTTTCTAGCTTTTTACTATTAACACAATGCAGCAATGATCATCTCTCAGCAATTAGTTTATTTCCCTTGATCCTACCCTAGGAAAGATTGACAACTGTGGAATAAAGAGTATGAACACTTCTAAGGTTTGGAAAAATTTTTAGAAAGATTGAGCCAATTTACATTGCCATCAGCAATGTATAAGAGTACTCGTATCACCATATCCTTGCCAGAATGAGTGTTTTCCATTTTCCCATTAATTCATAAATTTAACACTGTATTTAATTTTTAAAATTTGTATTTGATTATTACCAGAGTTCAATATTTCTATATAGTTATGAAAGATGACATTGCTACTTCAGCAAGAAACCATATTGAGCATAGTCAACTGTTCAAGGCTATAAAGCAAAATAAAATAAATAAAACCTTTAAGAGAGTTAATTTAATCATGGCATGAATGATGGTTATTGTGCTCCACGGTAAGTAGGCATTAATGGCAAGCAGCTCATGTATATGGCTATTATTACTATTATTTACATATAGCCAAATCAAGCATTCTTAGATCTTGAAGGAGGGATGAACCAACTAGAGCTATAAGCTCTTCTTATGCACTCATCAAGATCCCTTGATCTGAAACCAGATGTGATCCAGAAGGCAAGTTCTCTTTCTTCCTTAACTCTAAGCCACCTGTATAAATTGAACATCCAGGAAAGATAATAGGCACTATAAATTTAGTTGGCTGAGAACAGGCTAAAACTTATTTTATTGACAAGGGCAGATCAGATATAACTCAAAGAAATGGCCACCAAATCTCCTGTCTCCTCTCTATGATTACAACTCAAGAAGTTTTAGTGAGATTTCTGAATAAATCTTTTAACTTTAAATTATTTCTCTTTTACCACAGAGAAAAAGTAATGACTTAAGGTACAACCGTATCCTCATTTTACCAGTCAACCTTACTAACTAATGGAGGAGTGGCGGGGGTAAAAGGATTTAATGGATTTCCCTTTGCCAAATCTTTCTCCCCAACCTGTCTGGATTTCCTTGCTTTAGAGATTCTTTGATGTTTCTAAGCACATAATTCTGAAAAGATCCAAGAAGAAGGAGAGAATGTGAGAGGTAAAAAGGGGTAACAGTAACACATACTTTACACTAAAGATTAACTGAACTAGACTGGTTTTATATTCCGTGAATTCTTAATTCTGAAGCATGCAGAGGATAGGAATAAGAGTTCCAATCTGGAGAAGACATAGAGAGAAGCGAAAGGAGTTAAGTTATTATAGGTTGCTTTAAAAATGCATAGGTGAGGACACTAGACTACAGAAGAATAGGGAAGAAGGAGACTAAGCTTATGAGAATAAAAATTTATGTTTCTATAGCTCTTGGGAGTTAACCAAGCAATTTCCATTGATCATATTATTTAATCCTTACAGAAACTCTGTACTGAAACAGAGACCCAGAGATGTTAAGTAACTTACCCAAAGTCACATAGGTAGTAAGTGGCAGAGCCGGGACTCGACCCAGGTCTTCTGACTCCTCCTGTGCATTTCCAGCTCCCCTGGAGCTGAAGCAGGGGCAAAAAGGGAGGTGGAAGTAATTTGCCCAAGACCAGCCTTGCCCTCTCCCCTTCTTTCAAAGGCCAGGCAGAGTAGACACTTAATACTCTCAGTGACCATCTCTTCTTCAAATTCTTTCATGATAAAACGCACAGAATCTGAACATCTGTCTCAGCATTAGACCCAAGAATGGCAGTAAGTAATAAATAATGGCAGAAGTAATTTTGGTTGAGCTTTGCCAATGATGTGAAATTTATTAGAACCTCAAAACACAGTAATTTTCATTTCAGAAAGTAAAATAATTTTTATAATTAAAATTATTTAAAGATGCTCATTTAAAATTTTTGGTTTTGCAGTTTTAGCCAAACTTTTAAATTATACCATTATAAAAATCATTTTGAAAGATGTCTAAAAACTAAGATACAATCTACCTCTAAACTACACTGTGGCCGTATTTTTTTCTACCTCAATCATCCTCCCTTAGTAATTATTTTCATTAATGCAATTATAATCATTAGAATAGCTAGAATATTCTGTCTTTTCACAGGTAATTTTAAGTATTTTCAAAAAATTAATAGACAAGTATACATCAACTTCTTGTGCTATCAATCCCATTCATTTCTAAATTATATATAAAATGCTTTTAATGTAGGCTTCCTTAATAAATTTGTATAAAATAACTTATAGTTCACAGTCTCCACTTTCTTGAATAGTTCCTTAATTTTTCTTAGGGATTTATATTCTTTAATTTCTTATCTTACATTTCTAAATAAATTTTAAACACAGTGAGAAAATTTCATTTGTCTTATTAATTTCTTTATATGAAGATACAATTTAAATGAACAGGGCACATGGCCAACTTTTATAACTTGTGGATCTTTGTGTACTCAGCACCAATATATTATAGTCTTTAAGTCTTTTTAATTATGAGAACTACTATCAGTAGGGCCAAGTGCTAAGTAAGCATTTTCACTAATCAGGATATAAAAAGATCAATCAGTATATAACTTAGGTATGCCTAAAGATTTTAGAGATTTTTCTGAACTTGAAAAAACAATATTTAGCCAACCTTCATTTGAGCATCAGTGCTGACTAGGATGAGCATAGATAGCCCACTAAGCTACTTGAAACTCATAAATGAATAAAATGGCAAATACTCAGACATAAACTAAAAGAGAAAGAGGACTAGGAAAAAGAGTCTAAATTCGGGGGAAGAGGGAAGGACTAGAAGGGGAACAAAAGCAGAGATAAAAAGGTTTAAAGATTTAATTCTGAATAACTACTATGTCCCTTTTTCTCCTTTAAGACTTCAATTCCAAATTTAAAGATCTAGTTAAGTCTAACAGTCTTTTAGAAACTGATGGCCAAATTCAGGAATTCCTAGTAAGAACAAGATTTGTATTACCTGATCACCTCACAAGGAAAAAAATACATTAGCATACTTTCCCCCAAATTATTTGAAGTCTTATTCACTCAAGATATAATGCTTATTATATTTCCTAAATCATTCATCAAATAGTACCAAAAAAAGTTACCAACATTAAAAGAAGTCTGTAAGTTTTTGAATTTATGCACTATATTAGTACAATTAAACTGACATCTAATATCTTGCTTTGTATAATAAGGTCTTTGTTAAGCATGACTAACAGGGTTCCTAATCACATGATCTGGGAAAAAATGAGTATACTTCAGGCAAGATAAAAAATGCCAATAAATGTTTGCTAGAGTTAATAGAGTTTTGAAAAATCAGTGTCTACCTTCCCCACTTCCTTACTTCCCTCTATCCCATTCATTTAACAAGCATAACAAAACTGTAATCAAGAACCATGTTCACTAAGGTTCTCAGAATGCAACCACCTCAGCTGATACAGATCTTATTAATATTTACTAGTGGCTTCTGGAAGGGAGGAAATACATCTTTTACTTCCCTTACATCTTTTTAATCCCCTGGGCTTATAGGCCAATCTATTTTCCAAAGCAGCTTTGCTAAAAAAATACAGGTGAAGAATTTTTTTAAAGCTATAAAACACAACACAAATAACTTTTAGGCTCTGAGAAAACTGTGGTGGTTACTAGGGGTAGCAGTGGGGTTGAGAGGTGGGGAATTGGTTGGAAGAAAGAACAGACAGTATAAGGAGATAGTACACTGGTACTGAAGCTTTTCTGGAGGGCAAATGAAGCATATGCACTTGTTGAGGTGGGAAGTTGTATTCCCCATCTTATCCATTTTTGTAATGAAAAGCAAATCAACAAAATTTAATGGAATTTTTTTAAAAGAATAATTGTTGAAAAACTATCATATTAAATTTGGGTTTGATGTCTGAGGGACTCTTCAGTAATAAAGGTGATCACCAGGACTACGGTGATCATTCAACAAATAATTACAGATTTCCTTCCACTGTTTCAGTTACCAAGTTTATTCAAGAGCCCACTTAAAATTCTGACCACCTCAATTTCTAAAAGAGATAGTACTTACAGAACATTCCTACTGTTTATTTATAGACTTCCTCTACATATTCACTAACCATAAATTTTGCCCTTGTTTATATAAGTGCCTGAAAAGGATGGGTTTTTAAAGTAAGATTTTTTTCCCCCTTCCAGATTTCTCAACTAAGCTCTGAAATTAGATCCAAGATTACCAATTCTACTGAGAAAAGGAAATCACAGGCATTGAAGTATAGATTTTGTTTTCCAGAAGACTTTTTAACAAGTTTTTAACTAACTAAAACTAATATTCAAGGGTGTCAGATATATTAGCTTGTAAATAAAACAGCAATACAAATTTGACACAAAACATAAATACTAGTCTTTTAGAAGTTGTTTCTTCATTTAGGAATGCCCATATACCCAGTGGAATTAACTTGTCTTTGATTTAGTAGTCACTGCCAGTTTTAAAAAAAAAAGGATTTCAGATTTTGCCCTAGACTAGATTAGCAAATACAAAGCCTGAACAAATGATGAAATTCCTTACTACTAGAACATATAAATATTTTGTGGGTATTAGGTGAGAATTACAGAAAAAGACAGCAAATATATAAAAAGTATGATATGAGTCCTCACAAGCGATAATTTCTAAAGTTAAATAAAGTTTTCAGAATTAAGTTCAAATAAAAACTGAAAGACCAGTAACTTATGTATACAAGTAATTCTTTTCATTTTACATGTAAGATAAAATCCTAATTTTATTGTTATATCATAAAAGTATTAATGGCATAAGAACTTAGATGGGACATAAAATTTCAGTAATATATTTGGTATTCTATTCACAGAAAAGTAAAGAATCTTGGAACGTATTTGAGAATTGCTTTTTGTATGTTTAGTTCTTATTTGTAACATAAAATTACAGTATTATTAATAAGATATTTGGAGTATATCAAACAAAATATTCTGAAGATATTAACCAGCTTTTAAAGATGAGCAATTTGAAAATTAGAAAGAAGATATCCCTTATAGACTTTCAGTAACAGGTTCTATACAAAAAAAAAAAGTCCCATGAGCTAAAATAAGTTAGTGAATATGTCTCACTTGGAAATTTAAAATATGTATTAACATGTTACTGGCTGAATGAAGTTATAATCAATACTTAATTTTTTTATTTTTTTATTATTTTTTTTTTATAGAGGCATGTTTTTTATTTATTTATTTGTTTGTTTGTTTGTCTTTGTTTATACATGCACTGGGCACAGTCAGAAGCACGGGAGGGCGAGAGAATTCACCAGAGCCAGAGCGGGGAGCAGAGCAGGCAGAAGGACCGAAATACACTGCTGAGGGGAGCAGCGGGCGGCAGGAGAGGTCTGCGCGCCATGTGGGACCCTCCTCTGGTGGCCGGGGAGCAGCCGGGGATGGAACCGGCGCCGCAGAGGCCGCGGGCAGCTTCGCAACCCAGCGCTTAACCGCTGCGCCACCGGGGAGGCCTATACTTAATTTTTTTAATCCAGCAATTCCTAAGTTTGTGTAGCCATGAAGTATAACTCATATTCTCAGAATATACTTTAGAAAATCCTGAGCTAGACAGACTAGGTACAAAAAAAAAAAGGTTAAACAAAAAGACTTCTATATTCTTATGATGGTATATGTTGTAACAAGAGCTTCATTATGTTTACTCCTAATGAACTATATGGGTCTTTTATTTTTTAAAGATTTATTTATTTATGCATACAAGAGCTGGGGTACAGGCCAGAGATGTGGGGGGGGGGTGAGAGGATTCACCAGAGACAGAATGGGGAACAGAACAGGCAGATCGACTGAAGTACACTGCTGAGGGGAGCAGCGGGTGAGACAGGAGAGGTCTGCTGTGCCATGTGGGTTGCTCCCTGGCTGGCCAGGGTTCGAACTCTTGCTGCAAGAGGCTGCAAATTGCTTCATAGTGTGGTGCTTAACCCCTTGCACCACCAGGGAGGCCCGGGTCTTCTTTTTTTTTTTAAAGATTTACTTATTTATTTGTTTGTTTATTTATACAAGAACTGGGGTATAGGCCAGATGCGAGGGAGGGTGAGAGGATTCACCAGAGACAGAATGGGGAACAAAACAGGCAGACTGACGAAATACATTGCTGAGGGGAGCAGTGGGTGCGACAGGAGAGGTCTGCAGCGCCATGTGGGACCCTCGCTGGCAGGCCAGGATTGAAGTGGTGCTTCAGAGGCTGCGGACAGTTTCACAGTGCTGCGCTCAACTGCCTGCGCCACCAGGGGAGGCCCTCTTTTATTTTTTTAAGGGAAAAAATGTACTCATTATTGCAGTTCTTCTTTTCTTCTGAATGGAGCTCTCACCTAATGACAGACTGCTAAAGGAGTTACTTCAACTCTTAGAACTCTTGCCAGTAGTTCCCAAGTTTAATGGAACTTGAATCTGTGCACAGCAGACAAATTCTCACAAGGGGAGAGATCAACTTCACTCTTTTCCTAGAGGTGTAATAGTGAAGCCTACCGCACATGATTCTAGAATAAATAGCATAGGTTGGGTAAAGTTTAGGAAATTAGGATCAGTAGTATAAATCCATATACAACAA